TGACAAAAAATCCTGCTAAGTCTCCCCAAAGAAGACTTTATTCAAGAGTATCGTTATAAAAGTTAAGACTATAGAAATAGGGGAGAGGGACTGAAACTCAACTCTGAATACAACAGGGACAATTGGGGATTTATAGAAAATTACTATATTATATGGATTAAAATATAATTATATTGCAAGAGGAACTCAGTTAGGCATCAAGGGTGGGATGGAAGAGGAACTTGATTAGATATCAAAGTTGATGGGAAGAGGAGCTTGATTGGTTCTCCTTGATTGATTGAGGGAATTCTCCATAAACTGGCTGAGCAGAATTCTTTGCCAAAACTGGGCTCAGCAGGCCTAGTCAAAAACAGACCTTGGAGAGGGGCTGGCCTGGAGGCATAGTGGTTAAATGGTTAAGTTCGCACACTCTATGTTGGCGACCTGGGGTTCAGAGGTTTGGATCCCAGGTGCAGACCTAGCACCCCTCATCAAGCCACGCTGTGGCAGTATCCCATATAAAGCAGAGGAGGACTGGCACAGATGTTAGCTCAGCAACAATCTTCCTCAAGCAAAAAGAGGAAGATTGGCAACAGATATTAGCTCAGGGCCAATCTTCCTCAAAAAAAAAAAAAAAAAAAAAAGACCTCAGAGAAGCCTGACTGAAATTTGGTTAAGGAGGGAGTCCTTGTCACTGGGAGTCCTTGTCACTTTCATGAAAATAATCTCCAAAATATTGAGTGGGGGGGACAAAAGCAAGTGGCAAAATGATATATATATAATATAATACCACTTAATTTTAATATTTTAACTCAGAAAGCAATGATATATTTTCCTCAGATATGCATGTATATAAATGCATTAAAAAAGAACAGGAGGAAAAGATACACATCAAAAAAGGTAATGGTGGTTTCCTCTAAGAAAGGAACTGAAATTGGGGATGTTATCAGAGAACTTTACTCTTATTTTTGATGTTTTAATTTTCTACAGGAAGTATTAATTCCTATATAATATGTAATTAAACATCAACCTTAAAAATTAGCACCCTCCCTAAGCAAAACTACACTAAGATATCACCTTACATCCATCAGAATGGCAAAAATAACCAAAACAAAAAGTGACAAATCTTGGAGAGGGTGTGGAGAAAAAGGACCCCTCATACACTGCTGGTGGGAATGCAAACTGGTGCAGCCACTATGGAAAACAGTTTGGAGATTTCCCAAAAAATTAAAAATAGAAATACCATATGACCCTGCCATCCCACTACTGGGTATCTATCCAAAGAACTTGAAATCAGCAATTCCAAAAGTCCCATGCACTCCTATGTTCAATGCAGCATTATTTACAATAGCCAAGATGTGGAAGCAACCTAAGTGCCCATCAACTGATGATTGGATAAAGAAGATGTGGTGTGTATATATATATACACACACACACATACATATATATATACACACACATACATATATATATACACACATACATATATATACATACATACATACATATATATATATATATACACATACATACATATATATATATACAATGGAAGACTACTCAGCCATAAAAAAGGATAAAATTGTCCCATTCACAACAACATGGATGGACCTTGAGGGCATTATGTTACGTGAAATAAGCCAGATGGAGAAGGACAATCTCTGTATGACTCCACTCATAAGTGGAAGCTAAACATGTAGACAAAGAGAACAGATTAGTGGTTACCAGGGGAAAGGGGGCTGGGGGGGTGGGCACAAAGGGTGAAGTGGTGCACCTACAACACAACTGACAAATAATAATGTACAACTAAAATTTCACAAGGTTGTAAACTATCATAATCTCAATAAAAAGTGGAAAAAAAAAAACCTAGCACCCTCCCTGCCAGAATTTCTCCTCTAATACTCTTACGCAGTTGGCCTGATGCAGTCAAAGTTCACCGAGACAAAGCGGAAAGTGTACAATTTTTTGACCATCCTTGCTCACAAGATATTCCGAATTCTTTCACCATCACCACCACCACTCTAATCATTGCCCAGCTCATTCCCATGGTGCTACATCGAAACACTCACTGGTGGAAAGAGTGAGGATCGTCCACATCGTGGCCATCTGGAGCCAAAGGGTTGGAGAACGGCTCGCCTGAGAAAAAGAATTGACATTAATTTAATCACTCTTTGGTGTCAGGTCCTGTGCAAAAGTTGGGGATACAGTAGTTAACAATACAGATGTGTTTTCCTGTCAAGTGCTCACAACCTGGTGAGGAAGAAACGCAGGAAAAGCGACAGTGAGAATCAATGTAATACGTACAGAAGCGGAAAAATACAAGGGGCTATGGGAACCCAGAAGAGAGGACACCTGAAACCGCGCTGGAGGATCAGCAAAGACTTCCTGAAGATGATGTCTAAGATACTACGCGAAAGATAAACTGGCGCAACCCAAGATTAAGCGATTTGGGAGGAGGGGGTAGTTCACAGATAAAAACCCACCAGTCGTCACCTGGGGCGAGGACGAGGCTTTTAGGGACCGAGTCTGGCGCTGCCTGGCCTCACTCGGGGCCCAACGGATTCGCCAGGCTCCCAGCGGCTCACTCCTGGCCCCTCCCCACCCGCGCGCATACACACACACACCGGGGTTAAACTCTGAGGCCAAAATAACGCTCCAAGCGTCCCGACCCCGTAGGGAAGAAAGGGCAGACGACCCGAGCCTTACTATCTCGCTCTGGCATTCCGTCCGCGGAGTTTTACCGTCAGCAAAGACTGACAACAAAAACACAGCACCAACAGGCTCTTCCCCACCAAGCCGCTCAGGAACCAACCCACAGTGCCTTGCGCTCCGCAGCCGCCGCCCGCCTGCACGCCCGCACGCACGCACAGCAATTGGCGGAAACCTGACCGGTGCACCTCAGTACTGGTATGGCAATTGGCTAAACCTGTCTCCGCCGCTCTACGTCATCAGCCTATCCGCGGAGAGTGGAGGGTCCGGCGATTGGGCCCGACTGTAGAAAGTTGGCCGGAAGGGCGGGGGCGGGGTTTGGGTGTCAGCAGAGATGGCGGCGGCCGCGGCGAGTCGAGGGCTCCGGGCCAACCTGGGCCTTCGTGAGATTCGCATCCACTTATGCCAGCGCTCGCCCGGCAGCCAGGGCGTCAGGTGAGGCGCGGCGTGCTGAGGCGGGCGGGCTTCGGGGCGCCGGGGTCACGACCTCGACCTCCCGGGTGTTTGGGGAGACCCGCGCCCACACAGCACGCGCGGCGCTTTCTCCGGCCCCGCAGGGACTTCATCGAGAAACGCTATGTGGAGCTGAAGAAGGCGAACCCCGACCTGCCCATCTTAATCCGCGAGTGCTCCGATGTGCAGCCCAAGCTCTGGGCCCGCTACGGTGAGCGCCGGACGCTGGGAGTCTGGGACCCCGGTGGAGGGAAAAGGGTTCGAGGAGAGGAAGGGCCGCCCAAGGTCACGCAGAAACCCATAGAGAGACCGGAACTAGGACTTCGGCCTTGCTGTTGACCTTGTTGAGGATAAGGAAATTTACATTCGCAGTTACAGGATGCTTTGTCTCCCGGGTAACATCTGTGGAGGCAGGCCCGGGCCTGCAGAAGGACCGGGGGTTGTCGTTCTGGAATTCAGAACAGGCTTCAGATAGGGGAGAAGAGATGCTGGTCAATTCTCGTCAATGTAGGGCCTTCCAGATTACGGGTGGGCAGTGCTGGTCCAGGTAAGAGTGTGAGAATCTCAATAATAACCTAAAATAATGACTGTTTAAGCACTTCATGATAGGCCCTATGCTGAGTGCTTTCCTGCCTAAATCTCATTTAATCTTCATTAATTATATGAGAGTGGATTCTTTTTTTCTCATTGTAGAGATAAGGAGGAGTCAGAAATTCTATGCAACATACCCAAGGTTATGTAGCTAGGATACAACAGGGTTGAGCCTTTACTTTTGTTCCTGCTTCCTAGAATGCTCTTCTGCCAGACTTCCGTGGCTAGCTCCTTATTATTCAGATTGTTATTATTCGTCTCTGAGCTTATATAGCACCTCCTCAAAAAGGCATTCCCTGACTAGTTCTGTAACATTACCCTCAGCCCCTTTCTATGTTACCCTATTTCAACTTAACGACAATATGAAAATTACTATCATTTTGCCTGTCACATAGTAGGCATGGAGTAAATACTATCCTTACTGAGTAGTGGTATTTTAGTCACGGTTTTCAACTACATCTTGCCCTAGGAATGTCTGGGGGAAGCAGGGAGTCACACCTAAGGCGAACTCCTTTCTAACAGTGGACATCTGCAGTAACGTCATGCACTAAAAGTTGTCTGGGAGGAAGAAAAAAGGTTCTCTCTCCCAACGCCAGTAGACTAGAGGAGGAGATGGACTGAAATAACTTCAGTGTATTATACTTTGTGGACTAGGGGAGCCATAGAATGGCCAACCAGCCAAGACTAGGCCCATGCAATGTGCTCACAATGGTTAATAATAAATGCCTACTGTCCCCCTTAAAACTTCCCTGAAGCACCTTCCTTCCCATTGTGGCCACCCAGAATCAGCCAAAACTCTAGTTGAACCTGCACTTCCTAGATGTGTTTGAGACCAACTGGATAAATTCTTGGCATACCAAATCCACCTTGGTCATATCTCTTTACTACCCTCCCTATCCTAACAAGACTGTAAGTTGCAAACAAAGACCTGTTGTTGTACTTTGGTAGCCCCCCCAGTGCAGAGTGGACAGTTAATCACTTCCCTCTTTCCTCAGCATTTGGCCAAGAGAAGAATGTCTCTTTGAACAACTTCAGTGCTGATCAGGTAACCAGAGCCCTGGAAAATGTGCTAAGTGGCAAAGCCTGAAGCCTCCACTGAGGTTTAAGAGTGACAGCCCCACAGCCTGGGCTCTGCTGGACTGAGTACAATGTGGAAAAATATGTTCTTCTGTTCTTTATAAAGCTTGTGCTGTAAGATGCCATCTTAGGATGTTCTTTTCCTTGTTCCATCCCTTACCCCTTATTGCACAACCTCTGAGGCAAGGCAGTTTAATATAAAAATAAAACTTTATTCTGTCCCATCAAAGGCCACTAGCTGCTGAAGCAAAAAAAAAAAAAAAAAAGAAAGGAGATCCCAGGGCCCCAGAATAAGTAGGCCACACTGAGTTCCCTCTGGTCCTCCAGCATGGACACTGCTGGGTAAAAGAAGAGCTGGGGTCCAAAGGTCTTGGCTTAGGCTTAGCTGTGGGAGCAGAGCACATAAGACCTCATTGTGGTTCTACATCCCCAAAAGGGGCTCCGTGGGGAAGGAAGCTGGGGTCGGGGAGAGGGTGTGGAGTGGAGTAAGTGACATCGAGAAGCCAGGTCACCTGTGAAGAGCTGTCTGCTGGAGAGCATGCACACGATCCTGGAGCTGTGCCTCCTTCTCATGCCTTTCCAGGGCCTGCAGCCCTGACTGCTGTAGGAAGGCCTGGGCAGCCTGAGGGCAGGGAAGAAAAGGATTCAATACCTGTGGCCCTGTGCTCTAACACTCAATTCCCACAGCCTGAAGGGTTAGCCCACCTTTTCTTGGAAGAGAGTACACTCCCAACAAGAGGATGGAGGTCCTGATCTGGAGCCCACCTAAGCTAGCCAGGACCAGAGAAGTGACTATAGTTAAGACTAAAAGGAAAGGGTCCATGGTGAGACCAGAGGCTTCAGAACATGGTGGGGTTTGGGACCAGGGCCAGAAACCCACCTCTGGCCGATAGAGGAACAGCAGTTGCAGCAGCTCCAAACTCTGGCCTACTACTTCAGTGTCAGAGAAGGCCAGTGTGCCCAGCAAGGAGCAGAGCAGAGGCCCTGGCCACAGATGCTGGCAGTAAGCAGGACCCTTCTCTGCAACGTTGCAAAGAACTGTGAGCACCTGCAGACAGATACGTATACACAGTCCTCACAAAGGATGAAAGCCAAAGATTGTAATGATAGCTAAAATACATGGAGTGCTGGTCACACACCCCAGGCACTGTGCCAAGCAATTTTATATGCATGTTTTATAATCTCCACAACTGCCCTCAAATAGGATGATTATCCCCAACTATAAATGAGAAAACTGCAACTTAAGGTGGTTAGTTGATTTGCCCAAGATTAGTAACTAGTAAACCACAGTTTAGGGACTCAAACCTAGACTGGTCTGGCACTGAAGCCATCCATACCACACGACCTGCCAGCTCTCAGCTAAGGGCATTTCTGAGGACTCAGGCCTACTCCCACTGTTTACACTTTGGCCGCTAGATCTTGGACTCAAGTGACCCCAGTACCTACCAATACGCTCACCACATTAGATACTGGCAACAACTGTAAGAGGGGCTCAATCAGATCCAGGGAGAGCAAGGAGGTACAGAAACTGGGACTGTTTGCTGGAAGGAAAAATGTCAGGGTGAAGTCCCTCAAACGGGCCTGAAACCGCCCCCTCCCAATTCTACCCACCTCAGCCCAGGCCACAAGGAAGTATTCCCAGTATATAAAGGTCCAGGCCTAGGCAGATTATGGTGCATACCAGTGAGGTTGTTAAGGAGCCAGAGGCCCTCAGGAAGTAGGCTGGGCTGTTTCTGGAGAAAGAACTGCAGAAGGATAAATAAGGCTGCCACAACACGCTCATCTCTGAGCTGCATCTGCTCTCCCACAGCCCCCACCGCTGCCTCTGTTAACAAGTTGCTTAGACACCGAAGCACAGGGCATGCCAGCTGCAAAGAGAAGTTGAGGATCAGGTGTAAGGAGGGAGAGGCTACCTGCACACTGGGGGAGGAGCAGAGTAGGAGGAAAGGTCGTCCAGATCTTGACCAGTCCTCTTCACCTACCAGCTCCAGTCCTGCATCCTCAGTTCTCTGGACAGCCCCAGCCAAGTCCAACAGAAGTAGCCCGAGAGTGGAGAGAGCCCCATGGGTGATGAGCAGGGCATTGTTGACCTGGCTGGGCAACAGGAAGCAAGTAGTCACTACTCCATCAATCCGACCTTTAAGTTAGCAAACAGGTCTGTGAGTTTCCTGGGCTCCAAGAAAAGAAGACCATGGAAGGAAGAAAACTCACAACAGTTCCAGAAACCGAAGTTCAAAAACCTGAGTGTCAAGAAGGGAGCCCAGGGGAGCTCTGCGGCACTTTCCCAGTTGGCCTGTGCTACCTGCAGGTGATGTAGTGAAGGCACCAGGCAAACTCCACAGCAACCCCAAAGTTCAGCTTTGGGCCAGGTTGCAACAGTTGCAGCATGTGTTGTGGGAGAGTGGAGCCGAGGACAGAGCTGCCAGCAGAAACAGAGCTGTGAGTAGGAACCACAGAAGGCAGGATGCCTGTCGCTCTTCCCAAACTCTGACAGCAGGGGTAAAAGGGTCCAAACCCAAAGCCCTTCCCAGCCAGACACACAGAGTTAAAATGTGCAACAGCTCTGGAAACAAAGACCGATCAGGCATCCAGAGGTTACACTACCAAGTGGGTCACCCTTGCCTGCACATCTGGAGACAATTTCACCTACGGGATGATCTTCTCTGGAGCTTCCTTAGCCTGCAGAAGCTGGGACAAGGCATATCCAAGGGCTTCCAGCACAGTCACATGGGGGGACTGGAAGTAGACAGGGTAGAGATCTGACTCTGGAAGCTGGGCCATAAAGTTTCCTGAGACTTTCAACCTCTTAGCACAGGGCAGAGGCTGGAGCTGCCTGGCCAAAGCAGGTGGGGCATGTGGAAAGAAGTGAGGGGAGGGTTGCCCAGGGAATGAGAAAAGGAGGTGAACACTCAACCTGGACGCAGGCAGCCCAAGGCTGGAACAATGCCCTGTGGGCAGGAGCTGCCTTCTCACAGCCTCACTCTCCACAATCAGGTTACCCAGTGTATACAGACAGAGCTCCTGAGAGCAGGACAACAAAAGCACTGGGCTTGGCCCATCTCAGGCCAGGGTCGGGGTAGGGGTAAGGGTGGGAGTGGGGGTGAGGGTGGGAGTGGGGAGGATGGTGCAGCCCTGTCCTTGAGGCTCTGGACACAAGGGAGTGGAAGATGATGGGTATATGTCTGGCTGTGGGCATCAGGGGAAACAGGTTTTCTTCTCCCTACCTTCCAGCTCAAAGTGGACCCAAAAGTACAGTTTGTAAATCCAAGCCAAGAACAAGGTAGGGAGGTACAGAGCTTACTATAAAGTCTGAGCTGTGACCGGAGAGGTAGGTGAGAAGGTAGGAAGTGGCTGGCAGGCAGGCCTCAGCCACCGCAGACTGCTCAGAATGAGAGAGCTCATGAAGGCACCGAGCCGCCTCAAGCTGCAGCAGAGCCTGGTTGCTGGTCAGGAGCCCGACCAGGGTCCGCATGCTGCCCTCCAGCCTACATGAGTGAGCACCAGAGCCCTGCTCAGCCTGTGGCCCATGCCTTCCATACTCCTGTCCATCCCTCAGAGCCCCAGTCACCCACTCACACCATCCACATCACCCACACTGACCAGATGAAGGTCTGCTGCGTCTCGGGGTGCTGCAAGCCTCGACGAAGGCTGACCAGAGCCCGCCCTCTCTCCTTTTCCTCTGTCCCCCGCTGGGCTAGCTGCAGGAACTGCTGGATCTGGAGCCCAAGGCAGGGAGAGGAGAGATGGCAACGTACAGTTGCCAAAAAGCAAGTCTAAGTGCTGCTCTGCCCACTTCACCTGTGGGCCCTCCAGTATCACACCATCCCTAGAACTTGTCATTCACACCACAATGGCTGATGAGCACCAAGCTTGCAGACAGTGTACAGAAGTGGGAATCAGAGCTGGGTTTAATACCAGGCCTGCCACTTACTCTACAAGAGACCTAAACCTCAGTTTCTCACGTGAACAATGGAAATAACATCTACCCTGCCTTCTTACAGAGTTGTTTCAAGATAACCTCTCAGCCTAGCATAACCTACCCCTCCAGCCATTCTCCCCATGCAACCTGCACTCCAACAACACCTAGCATAACGTGACTTGTTTTGTAATGTTGCCGAGCTTTTGCACAATCTATTCCTTCTGCCTGGGAAACCCTCCCCACGTCCTCTCTTTCCTTTAGATTTCTACTCCTGTCACTGCCTCTGGGAAGTTAGCTCTTTCTGGCTTCCTTTGGCAGACTTAGGGCTTTCTATTGTGCTTCATGTCTCCTTCATGACAGGTGGTAGCACATCTGTCTCCTTCACTGGGCTGTGAATACTTGAAAGTACCTCAGTATCCAACAAAGTGTTTTGGGACAAAGTAAAAACACACAAATAAATAGTATAATGTAGGCATCCAATGTAAACTATCTATATAAACATAGACAATATAAGTACAGGGAATGCCCAATGCTTGCTGAATGAGTAAATGAGCTAAAACCAATTCTTTCATTCACTCATTCAATAAATACTGAGCATCTACTATATGCCAGATGTTGTACAGGCATCTGAGTTTTCAGTGATGACAAATAAGTGTCTAGGTTTCCATAGATTTAAAGTCTAGTTGGAGAAATCATAATAAACAAGTAAACAATTAGACATTATGATTAATATTCTGCAAACAGGTTGTCAAGACAGAATATCAAAAGGGACCCACTTTAGATGCAGCAAATCTAAAGGCTTTGAAGACAGGAAAGAGCCTGGTACATTGTTCCGAGAACTGAAAAGGGGACAGTTTGGCTGAGATGAGTAAGCCGATAAGGTTGGAGGTAGAAGAGGTTAAGCCATGCTGGACTTTATAGGTCACAGGAAGGATTTCGATCTTTATGTGTTATTAAAAGACATATCTGACTGATGTATGGAGAATGAATTTGAGGGCAGCAAGCACAGAGGCAGATAACCTGTTAGGAGGCTGCTCTAAGTATCCAGTGAAGAGAGTGGTGGCAGCTGCGATGGCGAGGCACGTAGACTCCAGAGCTCTTTAGTAGGTAAATCACGGCTAGGACTTGATGATGTATTGATATGGGTATAAGGTAAGGAGTCGTCGAGGGATGAGTCCCCCGTTTATAGCTTAGCCCAGTGGATGGATGGAGGTGTTGAAGGGACCGCGTTCGGGTTTGGTGGCGGACCTCGGGTATTAGAGGAAGTAATTTGGCGCCAGGTGGCGTGGACCTCACCGCGCACCCTGCCCCCTCACCTCGGCTTGCCCAAGGATCACGGCCACACATCCCCCTTCGCCTTCCTCCGGGGCGTCGTCTCTCAGCAGCCTCTTGCTGATCAGCTGCTGCTCCCTCCGCGCCTTCCGCAGTGCTGGGGGCAAAGGAGCCGGCTGAGCGTGGGAGAAGCACCCAGGACCCAGAACCCCGACTCCGATCCGAGGGCCTCCTTACCCTATCCCCACCGCCATATCCCCATCCTCCCGTGCTCGCTGCCCGCCCGCCCGCACCTGCCTCCCGCTCCCGCCGGCGGCGCCGTAGCTCCTCCACGCCACAGCCTGCCGGCCTGAGGCAGCCCTGCCGTCGGAGCCACATGCTGGAGCTGGGGGTCGGAAACGCGAAGCCCCGGCCTGGAAGACGGTACTGACAGCGCAGCCGCAGCGCAGGGCGGAAAGAGAGAAGCGAGTGGGCGGGGCACGTCGAGAAGTGGAGGCGGGGCGGAGCGAGGGGGTGCAGCCAGGGGCTGGGGCGGGGCGAGGAGCGGGGGCGGGGCGATGGGAGAGGGGCCGGACCGAGGAAGAGGGGCGTCTAAGGGAGGGCGGAGCGGGGCGGGGCGAAGCCTAGAGGCGGGGTGGGACCTGAGTGAAGAACCGAGCGAAGGCAGAGCGGCCCCCGCTCGGCCTCTGATTGGTTTCTCTCCTTCCCAATTCCAGGAACGAAAGTAGCTCAATCCTGACCCCTGCCGCCCCAAATCAGTAGCGTCACCTTCCCCTCAGCAAACACAACCTCTCTACCCCTCACGCATGCTAAACAAACGTTGAAAACTACCCCGAGCTCAGGGAAGAAACGGGACGCCTTTTCACCAGGAACGGCTCCCGCTAATGAGCGCTGGCTCAACTCTGGATGCGCGTTATCTTATTGAATGTTCGCCGCAACGATTATCCCGCTTTTATGGGTGAGGAAAATGAGACAAATACAGTAATTATTTCACTGTTCTGCATAAAAGTGAGGCGCGTTATTTTTAGGATAAATTAATTCTTTCACGAAACTTTGAGGGCCACTAATCTACTAGGTACTAAGGAAACACAGGTGAATTAAAAACTGTGTTCCTGAGGCCTGCCTGGTGGCACAGCGGTTAAGTTCGCACGTTCCGCTTCTCAGCGGCCCGGGGTTAGCTGGTTTGGATCCCGGGTGCGGACATGGCACTGCTTGGCACGCCATGCTGTGGTAGGCATCCCACGTATAAAGTAGAGGAAGATGGGCACGATGCTAGCTCAGGGCCAGGCGTCCTCAGCAAAAAAAGAGGACTGGCAGTAGTTAGCTCAGGGCTAATCTTCCTCAAAAAATAAATAAATAAATAAATAAAAACTGTGTTCCTTACCGTCATAATGCGAATTGTGGCCTACTAAGCCCTACGTGGTCTAATCGCTGCATACCTCTCCACTCTCGACTGGAAAGGCGCCTCACCTTACTCATCTCCCCTGCGATCTTCTCTTTGGTCCCCAAACAAGCCCTGCTCTTTTCCTCCTCTGGGATTTCACACAGGCAGTTACTCTGCCTAGAGCCCTGTTTCTGTCCGTCCCCCCACCCCAACCAGCACCCTTTCCTTAATAAACACCATCCTCAAGATCTCAACTCCAATATCCTCTCCTCAGAACTACTGGACCAGTGTCCCTGTTAGGAGAGCATATAGCACCATATATTCTCCTTCATAACCCTTGTCACAGCTGTCGTCAAGTTATAGTGTGATTGTTTGATGTTGTCTCCCCCTAAACGCCTTTCACAGCTCCAAGAGAGTCAAGTCCTGGTAGCACTTAAGAATTTTTATTGGAACCCTCTAATTTTTAGAAAGCTATTACTTAGGCAAATGCACAAGTATAAACAAATCTGGGAAAGGGAGTTGTTCTTCAAGCCAACTTCCTTCCCTTGAATTTAATTCCACCTCTTGGAGGCAATCCATGAAGTCTTTGATCTCTTACACAAAACATCTAGTTAAATATCTGCAGACCATCGTCCTGTCCTCCACATCTTCTCTCCAGGCCCAGCATCCATCCCCTGGACAGCCATTTATTGAGCACCTCCTCTGCACCATGCTCTGGCCGGGGATAGGGTCTTGTCCCCTTCCTCATGGGACAGGCTGGCTTCTAACACCTACATCTTTCTCTTGGTGGGGAAGGTAATACAAGTCCCTAGGCAAAATCTATGTTCTGCCCACAGTGTCTGCTTAGACAATTATAGCTACCCAAACTGTTTTTTGCATTTATCCACCTGGCAACTCTGACAACACTGTAAGAAACAGCCCAAGGTCCTCTTTACTACAGAGCTAGCTGTTCCTTTCTCCAGAGCTCCCGTAAGTCCTTGGTTTCTCCTCTATAAGAGTCCTCTTCACTGTGAACTGTAGTTCTGGATCCGTGTTTGCCTCCCCCACCTACTGGAGTACTTGAAGGACTGTGTGATGGTCATGTCTGCATCCCAGGGCTTTGCACCAGCCCTGGCTCTTGGTAGACAAGTGACGGACATTTGTTGAATCAAGGTGTGAATTGGAGATCTTTGAAGAACCGTTATTGCCCATCTTAGCCTGGACCCTTCATCCACAGTGCCTCTCCTAAAGCGATGGGATTTGCTGAGGAGCCAGGCTTCAGTGGCCTGAGGCTTCTTAATGCAGAGGCTCAATAGATGTGGCTCTGTGCCAAAGACTGTATTCATAGACAGATACTACTATTATCTCCATTTTACAAAGCAAGACCCCAGAAATCTGAGGCCCAGAAACTTTCCCAAGTCTCACAACCTCAGTGGTAGAGCTGGGATTCCAAGCTTGGCTGCCTGACTGCAGAGTCAGTGTATTTAACACGGAGCTGTAGTCACATCTTGGTCCTCAGGGATGTCCAGTGACCTGGCCTCGCCTTGGGGCATGGCTCAGGGTGTCAAGGCATTCCCAGTAGGACACACAGGGGGCAGTGTGGTTTGATGAGGCCTCTTTGTTTGAAGTGGGGACAAATGTGAAGCTCCTTCTGGAAAATAGGGGGAGTGAGAATTCAAACATTTTCATGTAGCTCTTTCCCCAGAAATCCAGAGGTGCAGAACTGTGAGGGCTGTTGTAAAAGTATAACCCCTAACCTACCCTCTGGGACACTTGTTTTTCTTGGCAAAACATGTGAGTTACTAATTAATCCTCGTTCAACACAGGAACAACACAGGAAAGGTCTAGCCGTTCCTTCCTAAGACACAGGAATTGTGCCAGGGGGAGGGCAGGAGAGCTAGGTGCAAGTGGGAAAACTGAGTTAGAAATATCTTGTTTCTCAGTTTCAGGATGAGGAAATTGAAACTGTAAGAGATTGAGCAACTTGGCCAATGTGTCTCTGTTAAACACTTCTATGTTTTTGTTTAATTGAGGTAAATTTGGTATATAATATTGTATAAGTTTCAGGCATACATCATTATAATTTGACATCTGTATACACTACAAAGTGATCACCACCAAAAGTCTAGTTGCCATCCGTGACCATACACTTGATGCCCTTCACTCATTTTGCCCCCCCCACCCCCAAATCCCTTCCCCTCTGGTAAACAGCAATCTGTGCTCTGTATCTATGAGTTTGTTTTTGTTTGGTTTGGTTTGGTTGGTTGGTTGGTTTTTAGATTCCACACGTGAGTGAAATCATACAGTATTTGTCTTTCTCCATGTGACTTACTTCACTTAGCATAATACCCTCAAGGTCCACCCATGTTGTTGCAAATGGCAAGATTTTATTCTTTTTATGGCTGAGTAGTATTCCATTGTGTATATATGTATACCACATCTTTATCCATTCATCCACTGAGAGACACTTAGGTTGTTTGCATATCTTGGCTATTGCCAACAATGCTGCAATGAACATAAGAGTGTATACATATCTTTTCAAATTAGTGTTTTCATGTTCTTTGGATAGATAGCCAGAAGCAGAATAGCTGGATCATATGGTAGTTCAACTCTTAATTTTTTGAGGAATCTCCACACTGTTTTCCATAGTAGCTGCACCAATTTACATTCCCGTCAATGGTGTACGACAGTTCACTTTTCTCTATAACCTCTCCAACACTTGTTATTTCTTGTCTTTTTGATAATAGCCACTCTAACAGGTGTGAGGTGATGATAGCTCATTGTGATTTTGATTTGCATTTCCCTGATAATTAGTGATGTTGAGCATATTTTTATGTGCTTATTGGCCATCAGTATGTCTTCTTTGGAAAAATGTTTATTCAGATCCTCTTCCCATTTTTTAATCAGATTGTTTGTTTTTGTTATTGTTGAGTTGTATGAATTCTTCATATATTTTGGATATTAACCTCTTGTCTGATGTATGATTTGCAAATACCTTCTCCCATTCAGTAGGTTGCCTTTTCATTTTTTTTTTAAGATTTTATTTTTCCTTCTTCTTCCCAAAGCCCCCCAGCACATAGTTATATATTTTCAGTTGTGGGTCCTTCTAGTTGTGGCATGTGGGACGCCGCCTCAGCATGGCTTGATGAATGGTGCCATGTCTGCGCCCAGGATCCGAACAGGCGAAACCCTGGGCCCCCAAAGCAGAGCGTGCGAACTTAAGCACTCGGCCACAGGGCTGGCAGCTGTTGCCTTTTCATTTTTATGATGATTTTCCTCACTGTGTAGAAGCTTTTTAGTGTGATGTATTCCCTTTTGTTTATTTTCGCTTTTGTTTTCCTTGCCTTTGGAGTCAGATCCACAAAAACATTGCTAAGACCCATGTCAAGGAGCTACCATCTGGGTTTTCTTCTAGGAATTTTATGCTTTCAGGTCTTACACTCAAGTCTTTAATCACTTTTGAGTTAATTTTTGTGTATGATGTAAGATACACAAGTTTCATTCTTCTGCATTTGGCTTTCTAGTTTTCCCAACAGCATTTATTGAAGTAACTGTCCTTTCTCCATTGTATGTTCTTGGCTCTTTTGTTGTAAGTTAATTGTCCATGTATGTGTAGGTTTATTTCTGGGGTCTCAATTCTGTTCCATTGGTCTGTGTGCCTGTTTTTATGTCAATACCCTACTGTTTTGATTACGATAGCTTTGTAGTAGTATAGTTTGAAATTAGGGAGCATGATACCTCCAGCTTTGTTCTTCTTTCTCAGGATTGCTTTGGCTATTCAGGATCTTCTGTGGTTCCATATAAATTTTAGAATTATTTATCCTAGTTCTGTCAAAAATGCCATCAGAATTTTGATGCATTGAATCTGTAGATTGCTTTGGGTAGTATAGACATTTGAACAATATTAATTCTTCCAGTCCATGAGCATAGAATATCTTTCCATTTATTTGTGTCTTCTTCAATTTCTTTCATCGGTGTCTTATAGTTTTCAGTGTACAGATCTTTCACCTTGTGGGGGATCAAAAGTGGCCGCCTCGAAATATGTCTCTTTGCTTTGATTATTTTCAAGAACAAAAGACTCTGAAAGAACATTTGACCTTCCCC